ATTATTTTTTAATATTTCGCTGCTGGTTTATAATCTTATAATAACCATACATTAAGACAACTTGATAACTGCGCGACAAGGGGTTTTCATTATTCGTTACCAAGCACAAAGTTAAGTATATTGTATCTGCTACAGTTTGAAAATGTACAGGGTTCATCGTAAAAGCAGTGAAAAGCTGTATGGGTTAGGATAAAGTATTTTCAAAAGTCATCAAATCAATACCTTACGGGGACTGACTTCACAAATTGTGCCCTTTACAACTATAAATGTTCCTATAGATGATATTCTATGATAACCTCAGGTTCACAAAATATTCACACCTCTTTCTACGTTTAAAATTTAGAATTTGCCTCAAAGTTTTTGTACAACATCCCAATGGAATCCTGTAGAGAGATTTCTTACTGGTCAATTATCTTGCAAACTTACATGTACTGAATCAGATGAACCCGAAACAGATAGTCTAGAAACATTTACTCAACTTTCTTGCTTCATGCATCAAGGTAAGATTTTAATTAACGTCATTAAATTGAATCTTTTCAGTACATAAAATATATTTTATTTTACACAATGCTTAGTGTCTGGCAGCACGCTTAAAACCAGTACGTTCAGTTTTCTAAGTTATTTATTTATTTTATTTGAACACATGAATATTGGTACAAGAGAGTGCCAATATATATGTGCCACCCAGTTTTCTAAGTTAAAGGTCGATTATGTTACCGTACTTTATATTTATGTCTCGTATAAATTCTGGTATAATTAAGTACCAAAACTATCACTGATAAAAGGATAATAATAATAAATACTGAAGAGGTTCCACGTTTTCCATCAAAAACAACTACACCAGTAGTCAACACTGGCTGCTTAACGCTTTTCAACCTGTTTAAATCTAAATAAAAAATTACTAGTTTCATTGTCCAAGCTAATGCTGTTTAGTAACTAGATCATCTCACTAATTACGTTTAACGAGGCTAAATTAATGGGATTATGCTGAGTAAAATTCATTACATATATGATTTGTTAAATAGACGTGATGAGTAACTCACTAGGTAAGCCTAGTGATATTTATTCCAAACATTTCCAGTGAAATTGTTTCCTGAAATGGTACTCATTTGTCTGCTTGTAAACATGAAGGTAGTTGTTAACTTTGTAGAATTTTGCATAATACTAGAAATGTTTAAAAGAGGTACCAGGTGCTGTTTCGCGATTGCTAAATCTGCTATGTGCATGTTGAAGTGGTTAAGTGATGATATCGAAGCTTCTATTAATTTTCCTATGTATGAATGATTCTTAACACCAAATCTTTTTGATTCCCATCAAAATAGATTGCTTTGATTAATATGATATTATTTGTTAATTACTGCAGATGTAAAATATTTGCTCACTGGTATTCGAAATGGATTATCGGGAAATCTAACTAAGCATTCATCTTTGCTAGATCGAAATGCAGTTTATAAACGTCTATCTCTTATTAGTCGGCTTCCAGCTTACCTATGTATTCATTTTGTTCGCTTCTTCTACAAGGAAGATAAACAGATTAATGCCAAGGTACGTCAGTAAGTGTATTGTAATAATGGCTATAAATGTCCAGTTTATGTATAAATTAGAATAATTACTGTTGCCAGTCCGAAATGTTCCTGCCTGGAGATAACTAACAGTCATGTTCGTAGAAAATACTAGGAGATCCTCTCTAAATCATCACGTATTAGCTGCAAATTCTGATTATTGTGTTACGTATATTTCAACTTTGTGGTTCGTCAATTTAAACTAACTACATTTTTTATAATAAAAGTTGTTGATCTCAAAAGACAGTTTTCGTATAAAATTCACGCTTATGAAAATCCTTGTGATGCAAAGTAAAAGGTCTGAGGAGCATCGTTGGTACATTTTTACTAAAAGATGTATCTCGTAGTTCCAAATGATCAATCTTTATTCTGAAGGTCGTAAAGCTTTTAAAAATTTCGTGATACTATTATGCTTATTATTTTATAGATTTTAAAGGATGTAAAATTTCCACTAACATTGGATATGCACGAATTTTGTACACCTGAGTTGCAACAGAAATTACTACCCATGCGTGAAAAACAGCGCCTTAAAGAAGATGAAGTGGTTAATCCCTCAAGTCAAACAAATACTTTCAAAAGTAAACCAGGTTTGTATTACTGATAAGTGGTTATGTAGTGTAATTTTAGACGTTTTAACGTTTTTGGGTTTTATTATTTATAGACAATAGAAGCAGGTAAGTTTTATTGAGACTTTCGAAGTTCGAAAAAGTAGCAACGGTTATCGTTCAAAGAGCATATACTAAATCCGACAGACAAAGCCATCACTTAGTTATTTTTAGGGTAAGTATAATAATTGTTGCGATTACATTGAACGTTTTCCAGTGAACGCATGTCTACATGACAAGTGAAACAAAACGGTGAGATTTTCAACAATGTTGACTAAATTTAATACTTTTCAGAAACAATACTCAAGACAGATATAGTCGATGACAGTCGGCAAATAATAATAATAGGGTGATATTCTTAAAACATATCAGAGTCATCGAACTCAGTATATCCTGATGACGACCAACATTAAAATATGGTGAGATACACTCCTGAACCTTGTAATTAACAACATGGTTTATCTACAAGATGGAGACAACTAAACAGCGACCGGACATCAGTTTGCCAGGCGTCCCAGTTTTACAACCTTATGTCAAAACTATTTTTGGTGATTGAAATTGCCAGATAAATATTACGAATGCCATAAACCAACTAAAAGTGGATTTAGCCAAATGTTCCACCTGTGATCATTTCAAATATTTACCGATATGTTCATATTCACGTAAACTAATTCACTAACACATTTCTTCCAGATTCTGTACGACCTGATCCATTCCAAAATCCTGACTTGTACGAACCTAACTTTTTCGCTGATGATCCAGGTTCGAATAACTCTGGGTACTACGATCTTCAAGGTGTTTTGAGCCACCAAGGTAGGACAAGTACCAGTGGGCATTATGTTGCTTGGGTGAAAAAACAAGGTATGCTTTACGAGGTATAAACATGTAATAAGTATTTCATGTTTTAAATTTTTTTCATAAAGCCAGGTAGACTAAATAAAAAATGAATTTAGATCAGCAAGAAACGTTGCACACAGGATATCCAGACAGCAAAATGGCCACTAATATTCAAACTACTTTCAAGGTTGTTACAAACAATACCTAATCATTATTCTTCTATGATTTTCGTTTAATTACACCCCCCAATTAGTTTAAACATAAACTGGAATCTAGCACGTCATACCTAACATTTTAGATCTCATGAACCCTTGTATCTATACTATTCCTTGTCATTCTAGACTAGCTAGACATTTGCTCTAGAAAAAAGATTACAATTTTTCGGCAAAACATTCGAACTCCTCAGTAAAAGTTCCGGTACTCATTAAGCATATGTTAAACCTAGTTCTAATACATTTTTAAGGAATGACACTATATAATTCATTGTCTCTTTAAGCTCAAAGAGAACAAAGTATTAAAGAATTTTGATTATTATTAGCCGCAAACATATTCTTAATATCATGTACATTTCCCTTAGCAGAATGTTGGGTTTTTGAATGACACTTTTTAAAAACCTTTATACCCTACATGATTCATTGTAGAAAAAATATTTTGGTGTCACTATAAGCAGCTGTTTGTCAAGCAGGTTCATATTAAACTGCAAATAAAAAACAACTACCATTTTGCTCCTAAAATTCATGCTCTACTATTTATTCATTTCACTCACTATGTAGGAATGTGGTTTAAATTTGATGACGATCGTGTCAGCCAAGTGACCGCAGAAGATATTTCGCGCTTATCTGGAGGGGGTGATTGGCATTGTGCATATATTCTGTTATATGGGCCTCATTTCATAGAGAAGAATGCATGTAAGGATCCTTCTGGAAGTACCGTATGAAGTTCATAAATGCACAGCCTAGATAAATTGACAACTTCTGTTGAATAAACCCGTTTTTTAAACCTGAAATTTTTATAAAACGCCGTTCGCTATGGACGTTTGTCATTATTTTCTTTTCATGAAATTGTGATAATTTGTCTTACAAAATCGCCCTGTTTGCTAGTTGTTAATGTTTTTCAGCTCTTATAATCATCCAGACTTTTGAGCGACTCACTTAACTGCGAAATTGCTTTTCTAGATTCAGCATTGTTTGTGTGGTCAGAAATTTGGCAAATAAAATATACCGTTGGTGTTTCGTTATTGTTTGTTTATCGACTGGTATAAGAAAAGATGTGTCCGATTATAGAATATCCGACATCGGATTAATCACCACTGAGCTATGTGATAAATAATTAGCGAACATGTGCTGTTACTTAAAATTTAGTCGAAATGCACAAATCTTCTAATAAACATAATGTGAGCAAAAGTATTCGCTAAGCATTAGGTTTTGTCGTCCAAAAATGTTTCGTGAATCGAGCGGTGCATTATGCATTTCTAAAATATTATTCTTTGAAAAGCAATATTCACGTTTCGGTCAAATGCTTCCACGTCTTAAAGTACGCAAACCTGCATAAGTCTAACATCTGTACGAGAAGAGATTGTCAGTTCACCTGGTCTCAGATGAAATTATAAAAGCAGTTTATTTATTTCAAATTGTATATAACTATTTGAAAAGTGCAAGATCCACGATTTTAGCGCATAAATATGCATTCCTTTTTTGTCAAATGCTAGCTAAGTTTGCAATGAAAATGAACTTCATTATTACTTAAATTCAACGGGAAAGCTGTTACGAAAATGTTTTCTGTATTCCACTTGATTGATTTGATGAGTGATACTAATTCTTTCATACGCCGAGTTTGGACAAATTGGTTTCTAAAAGGTTTAACCGTCTGAGTCGATATTCTTATCATCTGGCCACAAGGATGTTGCTAATTAGCCGTCCTTCTTGATAGATAGTCTGACTTCCCTTAGCTGTCTTTGTCAAATGGTACACAAGGTTTCATGTAAAAGATCCAAAATTGGTCAAGTTTTTGTATTTGCAACCAATTGTTATAATCACAGTGAAAGGAAAGAGTTAAACTATACAATAATCAATAATAAAGTGAGCCATAAAATTAGGAAAGTCAATATAAAATTTCATTTTTGACACTATGTACAATTGTTTGGTCAGGTTGTTTTTAGAAGTAATCTAGATTTATGTTTAAAAAATAACTACAAACGTACAGTTTCTATAACGAAGTGAACGGCAGTCGCTGAATTATTTTGCAGGATGCGGAAGATAGGCATCTATGGTTTGTGATATCTGTAAAAATACAAATGAGGATTGTTTACATAGTGGATAAACTACAGTAGTTATCGTAACGTAATTACTGGCCGTTTGTACACATTCTGTGTTAAGTATAGACCTCAATATGTAATAATGGACTACTTGTAAAAAAGGAATCGACATAAGAGATTTACGGAATCTTGAGGGAGTTAGAATCAGGTTTAGAAGACCAACTCACACAAGTTAAAATAAGTAAGTAGCTCATCCGATCGTAAATCATGCACGATCAGATATCTTTTTTGGTTTGCTTTGAGAAAAGATTTACAAGTGAACCGCACATCACTTTAATCAAGGTGTTAAACTCTTCTGGCATTCGTGTTTGCACAACTTTTATTAGAGGCATTGATGTCTGCATTATGGTTTTGAAAACAGCTCTTATCTCTGCGTGAGTTCATGCTCATCTCTATTGTAGTTACTCATCTTAAAAACAAGAGTACGAATAATGAAATATAAATACGTTAAAACAAAATTGCTAGATTTGTGTCTATCAGTACACAGTGGCGTATATACCGTAGTTACAATCTTGCCTAGCTAGCAACTATATTTCTTAGCTGCTATAAATGAAGCCACTATTATTTATGTGTATGGGAACACCAAATCATTGGATCTGTGTTGGTGCAATGGTAGCTAAAATTGATGGGAATATATTACAAAATAGAATAAAATTTGCTAGCAAATTAATACTCACCGAGTGTGATGTCGACTCTCAGCATGAACATCCATTTCAGTTGCTTTGAATTCGTTTAATTCTTTTCTAATATCAGCCTAGAAATAATGTTTAGACGGTTATATCATGTTATTAATTTTACATTTACGGTTATGAATTGACTTCTAATTTGATAAAAGAGATATCCACTAAAATGTACATTCTAGCTCTACAGCTTGCTAAGTTTTTCGATAGGTTTGGTTGTGTCTCTCATTCCGATATAAGAATGTCGTGAATGTTAGAGCGAAATGCTAATCGTTGCTACTAGGTATGTATAATAGTGAAGAACACTATTAAATCTAACAGTTTGTAGTATCAGAAATGTATATTTAAGGTTAAACTGCGAACAAAGCATCGGAGTGAGTTTTAGCCTGAGTGAATATCTGTTGACCGTCTATGATTTTTTCACATATGTCGGCATGATACGTTTCATTCACTTCACTAACCACCATCTGAGATTTGATAATTTTCATATAAATGCCATAAAATAGCACGAAAATATGCTCTTACAGAATTTCATTATCTAAATCTTGTTATAATATGTAAATGAATAAGTTCTGAAACCTTGCAGTAGTAAGGGATTAGTAACCTATTTAGTCGCAATCTAGAGTTGTTGAAGTATATTTAGAAAATAAAGGATATTGTGTCGTTGTTAAGAGTTTGGTGGCAAGAATTTTAAAAAAATGTGTTGGCTGCCACTTTATCTATTAGTAAAACTAATTACTGATTCACCCTTGATTTGAATAAATAATAAGTGGATTAACAGTGTACGTAGCATGAAGTTTTGTAATGAAAATAAACGTTCACTGTATTGTAATTCGTTGATTCGACGAGATCGCTTACCATTTGCAGCATGAAAACACATGATTACGGTAAAGGTGCTTTTAGAAAATACTAATGGTTAGCTTTCTCCAGATAAAAATTGTAGGAACTTACTTTATCACGTAGAGTTAGACGAGTCCATGGTTTATCAGCTCGACGATCATAGGCATCCGCTTCACTAACTTCAACATAATCGTTAAAACGAATAATTTTACGTCGACGCAGCTCTTCAACAGTTGGTCGAAATGATAGCTGAAAACGAAATTTTTAGTCGTAATTAAAAGTTTGAGCTTTGAAAGAAAGTTACCTATAGCTAATACGTTCATCATACAGATCGGTCAGGTTTGGACAGTAGTAGTATATCACTCGTGTCTTTTATCTATCACAAAATTTTCATCAAATAATGTCGCATAACAAGAAGCAAGCTACATTTCATGTTTGCAATCGCTAATGAAAAGTTATACGCAAATCGCTCCGAGGAAGACTCACACTTTTGATCATCCATTGCAACTACATCATGGTTAAAAACGTCTTGAAAGTGTGAAAAGTTATATATGTTTTGAAGAAAATGTCCGTGACAATGAAAAAGAATGATTTCAATGCTTGAGCTTGCAGAGGTAGACCTTAAAAACAACGCGACGCCGCTTGCTCCATGGATTCTCAGAACTAAGGTTTGGAAAATATGTAGATGACAAAAATACTATGTAATTAACGGTATGTTAATGGCTCCAAGCAGCATTCCTTTATGCCATATACTCACTTCACGGTTAATCTCAATCAAAAGCCAAATACTCAGTAATAATATTTGTACCAGGTAATTTTAGTACGCAGCTAGATGACTTGTAAGGTTGAAAGATACAGGTCGGGAATTCGGTGTTACAGCTCAGCAGACAGTGACAGTCAGTTATATCAAAAGAACCTTTCATCCTAAAAAGCACCGATTTCACACAGCAAAATATTTAGTGAACGCGATTGGAAAATTTGGATATAGGGAAATATCAAGCATTTGTTTCTTCTGCTAAATAAACATTACTTGAAGACTGATATTTATAGATCTCGAATTTAAGAGACAAGAGTTCGACCAAGATTACTTATTGACTATTCGTCCACATCCAACCTACTATCTGAAGTTCAATCTTCGGATTAAGAAATACGTATGACTTACATTAAAGTCTGTGCGGTCATCTTGTCATCAATATTTTACAGATGCAATAAAAATAATCGTTATCAAAAAACATCATTGCTAATGAGGTATCGTAGCTTTTATTATAAGGTGCACAAAAATAGTAATAAAAATCACATGGTAGATTAAAGGTATATATATCTAACAAATTGAGTTGATAATTTAGTGAATCTTACGAACATGACTTCATACACTGAGTGCATGTAAATGACCTAGTGTTTAAATGTAAGATAATTATGCGAAATTAACATGCCAATAATTCATTGAAATAAAAATTTAGTTGTGAAACATACAAGGCTGACAAATGTTGATAAATTACACTCGTTGTCTAAAAATTACGTACAATAATTGCCGACTAGTTACCTATAACTGAAATAAGTGTAAACGAAGTCTGAGTACGTTTTTTTCTAATAAAATAGGTTTTGTTTCCAGTAACAAACTAGTCAACAAGAAACAATTTGATGATGGACGAACGTGAATATTCTACTTTTGAAGCATCCTATGGACTGAATACAAAACAGTCAGTTTACTTCATTAGTTACCTAGTTTAATTCCTCTGAGGAAGTACTTAGGAAAGCTAATTGATTGGTGAGGAAGTGAAGCATTAACGACTGAGATGGTTAGGACATCTATTACGCATGGCTATTCTCAGTGTGCCGCTATGGCTGTTGTTAGAGTAGGTCGTACGATTGCTGGGGGTAGCCAAACCAAACCATATTTTCAATTCATGAATATACTGACTGTTGGGCTGAACAGCGTAGGTAGGTTCAAACTACGTAGTAGGGGTTCATGTGATTATCGTAACTAATAGTGACATGGCTGAAATCGTTCGCAATGGCGCAAGTGAATTCAATCTTTGTCGAACATAGTTTTATGATCATTTATTTACCAGAGGCAAATGATAAAGAAATTTGATATTGCCAATTTACGATAACACGTATCTGAAGTTAGAGTTACCAGATATTTACAAATTATCTTTAATTGAACAATGGGAACAAACTATGGGATAATGACACTAAAAAGTTAGAATATTCAAAAACTGAGCCGAGTCCTATTTATTAATCATTTAGCAAAATATATTAGGGACTACAAGCCAGATGATAATGTAGTTGTTTTTTATCGAGAAGCATTAAAAAGGAGAGACTACAATATTATCAACTAATTCTTCGCAGACATTTATCAGTTGTCAGATTAACCTACTGTAAGAACAGAAATTAAGGGGTTTATTTGTACTTAAACACCATAATAAGCCGGTTCATTGTTTGAAATATGAATCTGAACAGAAAGAGTACCTAATAGTTTCACATGAGATTACTAAACAAATTAATATTTTTATTACTATTATTGAAAATAAATGCTTTCGACTTGTCACAAATACCTAAAGTTGAACACATATAAGTACGTCTAATATTAACTTTTGTCAAATGACGCAAGAATGAGTAAGATTCTTAGTTCTAAAATCATTCTATCCAACTTCAATTACAAACAAAAAGTTCTAGGTTTCGAAAAAACAATACATAGATATAGAATTAATATTTTGTTACTTTGTGGACACTTAAGAGAATTTAGAGAAGGAATGGACATCTCTTTTTCAAAGAAAAGAGAAGTGAACAAATATTTCTGATAAACCATTGACAAAGTGTATTAACTTCACACATGAAATAAATTAACCTGGAATACATATCCAGCAGAAAGACGAAACATTTTATAATTACCTGTCAAATAATAAAAGTTATTTTATATTCGATTGCAATAAAAAGTAGTTTCTTTAATGTTATACTTGTGTTTAGATAATTCAGTTAACAAATACAAACAGAAAAAATACTTAAAGTAGTAAATGCAACGTGCAAAGCATATATGTCACCCTAAAGGTGGAATTATACAGAAAGCAAGCAGTTGTATTAATGTAATTTATACCAGTTACCTAAATATAATGCGTTATTATTAAGGGGTTATGAGGTCGAAGATAATTTAGGGATGAATTTTGTAGTAGTCATGTGGAAAAGATTTCAACGATCAAGTATTGATAAAATGATAAATTAGATTGTTTTTGTAACCACATAATATTCTTATTAAACAAGTATCAATACTAAGGTTGGACGTGATAGTTTCAAATAAATTGAACATTGGCTAGCGAGTTAATAATAAATATATTTTTGCTATATCCCAATGAGTAGAAAAATTGTATTTCTGACGTTTAGTGACTTAATGTAAGACATTACGTCAGAAGCAATTAAAACGAGTTCAAAGCGTGTTTTAATTTAATGTCGGCTATTTATTTACTCTGAAGAAGTAGCTTAGATTAAGCCAAGAAACGTCAGAAGTACAATTTTCTACTTATTGGGGTATAACGAAAATATATTTATAATTCTTATTAAACGTTGAAGAGAAATGGGTAGAAAGTTGTATAACAGGGTATCGGACAGTGAGAACATAAATTCTATGCAAAGGTGTTGAATCGAATTTTAAAACAACTTTTTTCTGAAGAAACAATGCATAAAACTATTAGGACACTTTTACTAGCAATTCTATGGGCTGATTAAGCAGCCACTTTTACATTGAACTTACAGACATACACGTGTCTCTTCTTTACTTTGTGTCTGGATTATTGTTATTCTTTATAAGCAAGAAGCTTTAACACAACATAACTGACAAATATGTATTTAAATAAAAGAAATTCAGTGAAGAAAATTCTCTTTTTAATTTTTTTTTCTAGATTACCTACAAAAGAACAAGTCAGGAGGGGTCCAGTGATGATTTCATCACAACTTCATCAGTTCGTCTACAGAAAGCATTATTAAATCTAAATTGTACGTAGAGAGTACATTTCAGAAGTAGCTTTCCTTGCTAGTATCACGGGGAAGCAAATATCAAGGTTGTTTTTCTCAACATAGTCATACAAAAACATATGGTCTCCGCAAAATAAGCATTGCCTTAGCACATGATATTGTCGAAAAGAGAAGTATCTTCGCAGAAATACCTTTATACTTTCTTCAATGACCCAATGGGTTCCTTTAGTCATTTGAATATATATATATATATATATATATATATATATATATATATATATATATATATATATATGTTTCATCATCAACTTGTATTTTTTTTCTATCAAATATTATCATTGGTAAAATAGACAGAGACTAACTTCAATGAAAGTGGACTGACACATTAGTAAATAAATATTGTATTTCTATTTTACAACAAGAGAAACTGATATGTTCTAAAACGTTAAGATAAGCTGTGAGTGTTATCGTTTATATTAAATGTCTTTTGTATTTTTTCCTATGACGCTGTTAAAAATTCTCTTTTAATTTACCATTTCCCTTCAAACGTAAACCTAATAACTTAGATTGAAACATATGCACGTACAATTAATAATGAATCAAACAAATAACAATGATAATAATTGTTTATTCGCAAGATTATCTATCCTTTGATTTGAAGATGTAAGAGAACTACGTGTCGTATGACTTACTGTGATAAAAAATCAATCCTGTATAATTGCGTCAGATGACTGTGATATGTTCTTCCTTACTGAGAGAAAGAAAATTCACGAGATAAGAGAATGATGATGATAGTAGAATTAGTAATGTGTGTAATGCATCAATTCTATTCATTTAAATTTAGGTTGATAGCGAATGATGATTATTTATCAAAGAGAAACAATTTCAACTGTACTGCGAACAGTGCTTTTGTAATACGACTCAACTATTCCACATGACCTTAAACTGATCAAAATATTTGTTAACTAATTCAGGGAATGATATTATACATGTTTGGCATCTATGGATACCAGTAAGTTCAACTTTCAGTTTGGACTATACATAGAGAATGATGTTGGTTGGTATCAAAATGGATAAATTTCTTGATTTTTAGTATTGATAAACATAGTTTGCTTTAGAAGAAAAACAAATACAAATAAGCAAAGAACATTTTATTTTTTGATGTCACAATGGATTACTTTAACTATAGAATCCTTCATAAAATGTAATGCAGGCGCTTAATTAGATAGATTCCATGATTTTCGTGACAATACTAGTTTCTTAATTTTTCCATTCACTTTACATCCCGAAAGCTAATAAATGCAATTCGGAATCAGAAATATCTAAGCCCACCTGACATAAATATTTAAAAATGTTTTATGGAGAATAAAGTCTTCTGTGAAGAAATCTACTTCAGCCAACAACTACGAGACTCCTGTAGTTCGGTTTTGTTATTGTTTATTTATTTCAAGTACCTTGCCTTTATACGAAATAGTATCAGTGGTAAATAGGTAATAGGTCAGAACCAGTTATAATGATCATAAACTGCTTTTTATTAACTATGCAACCACGAATGACATTGAAAAAAGTACTGAAGTCGTCTAATCTAGCTCAAGTTATTTGTAATCAAGACAGAACCTTTCCATCCATTTTAAATAACTATATTTTGTTTCCTAGGAAGACTACAAATACAGTTACTACTATTTCAACACTAGTTTTATATCTGGTCATAATAAGCTATTCTATATAAGCAAACATTTCGCACCTTTCGTTTATTCAAATAAAAAATCGAGTTAGGTTCAAAGCAAACTACCAACACACACAAAAAGGATAGATGATCATTAGTTGTTTTTGCATGACACCATGAAAATGGTGAGTTAGGGTATTTTCGGCTTCACAAGTGCTTCACTTTTAAGCACTAGGTTTCTGCAGGTTCCTAACAACTCCTTGGGACCAGCGTTACTGGAGCCACCGAACATCGGAGGAGCACACACAGAACTACACATAAATGTTACACTAGCGACAGTCGGAGAAACTAGCAAGGAAATCAGGCAATCCGAGTAAGGAATAGAGGAGGACGAAAAAGCAACCTAGCTGAAGCACTGCATTTAGATTTAGAGGTAACTGCAAGGATATTTCACATACTTTTTCAGAAGGATTTGGTAGGAAAAACAAATACCAGCAGACTGGGAATAAGGATATCTCAGCAAGATTTCAAAGAAGGAAGGTTGCAGTAAATGTGAAATAAATACAGGTGCTATCGTCAGTACCTGACAAAGTTCTCGACAGATTGTGGGTATATCGAATAAAAAACTAAGTATATGTCAAACGTCGAGATCGACAATCTAAGTTTTGTAAGGAAATTCTAGTACAGAGCTGGTCGTAGATATCTCATCAGAAATCTATGCCCCAGGAACAACAGTAGGGTTAACATTTACTATAAATCATTTTAAAAATTTACTCATCCACGAGGTCCAATTAAACCACTCAGTTGTCCAAACCAAAGTAGATGGAGGTGGGTTCGAAGCTGATATTCAGCGTCTGAATGTTAAATGCCTTAATCACTAAGCCACTGCGGAAAGTATTTATTGTTTATGAATGCTAGAGCAATTTTGTTTTCATGACGGATTGTAAAATGAAAATTTCTTATGATTAAATATTAACGGTGGAGACATACTTAGTTAACAAGCACTCGAAAATAGGACTATATATAACTGTATACCAAGAATTACATGATGACAAACGGAGGATGCCATGATTCGAGTCTTCAAAAAGCACTCGTATAAGCATAATTCAGAAACATGAGCCCAGTGCTATATTCACACAGCATTTAGCTAAATTATTTTGATGGAGTTTTTTTCTCTGAGTTGGTTGATTTAGTCGTGGAGATTCCATCGTTCTTCTGAACGACACCATTAGCACAAAATTGAGGTAGAAGTGAAGTGTTCGAATTTCTCCACATGTGGCTCACAGCTTTACATCCACCTAAGCTACAAATCTTTCCCACCATCTCAGCTAAATTATTTTTGTCTTACATTCATTTCGGTCAAAGTCTCCAAGGGGTCAAACACTAAAACAAAATGAATCGAACCAACATACAAATCTCACTAAGTGTCAGGAACAAATTTTACGATAAATTTTGTCTAAATTTTAACAAATAGTTAGGCTTTGAGTTTATGAAAGATGTTAAGAAGGAAATTATACTTGTGAACAATCTGAGTGGTTGAAGTTCTAATATGGATCCAATGTTTCTCTCGGTTGCCCAATCCAAGTTTCTTCAGTAGGAATAATCAAACATCAAAATTATCGAATATGTTTTGTTCACAAACTGACTTTGAATTAAAAAAATTGTTCAATTACTAAGTTCATCAGAGGAGTCGAATCCGCTGGCCTCAAACTACCATTTTTTTGACTGTTTGGTTAAAAGAAAACAACTTTTTTAAAATTAATATATTCCGAAAGCCAACACCTAGATTGCAGGTCACCACAGGCTCTATCTACTAAGGTGAGTTTCTAAGAATCTGCGACTCGTCACAGAACTGGAAGACGGATAAGCTGAGTAGAATTTGGATTTGTCTACTTTGATGACGAATAATTATCCAATTGACTTTACAAGTAGAATTGTTAATATATTCGGAAATATAAGCAAAAAAAGAATGCATTAAAGTGGTGATGATCCCAAATCTCAAAGGAACTTGGGCAGAAATCAGAAGAATCCTGAATTATCACAATATAAGAGCATTTTTCCGAAGGGACAGTACTCTTAACTGTACACCAGCAAGAGTCAAAAACACAATATTAAAAGAACAATTGTATTGTGTCTATGCGGTCAAATTTAATGACTAATGCTACATATATAGGTAAAACATCACAGCAGGTGAGTGTGAGAATGACGGGATACGGACTTTGCTTGAAGCATATTCCTAAATCCTTAGAACTTTAAAAACTAGAAAGCATTTAAGATGATAGCACTACATTCAACAGAATCTGAACATACGGTTGACTTCAACGGGACAAGAATCCTTTACAAAGCTTTTGGTTAGTATAAAGGAAGTTTGACAACTGAGATCCCCTGCGTATAAACGGAAACTCAAATGATATGAATAGAAGAGATAGAAAACAATTATCTGTACCACGGCAACTGATAACTACCAAATAGATCTGAATTTGATCTAACTGTTGCTGATTCGTTTCATGTTTTGCAGACAACAACAGTATACTTTCATTTGTTCCAATCAGTTAATATTTTTGAATATAAAATGAACGACCAGCTCGTTCAACATAATAACACAAACCTACATTAATTTATTGTGACAAGTTTAGTTGATTATAATATCTGTCAGATTGTTTAATTATATCAACGATCATAGAGTAAGGCCATATATGGTTAATAATTTTTTTCTCACGTTAAATTTACGTGCATACACATATACTACTTATCTTACCTAAATTTCTCTATAATTCACACCAGATGACTGATACCCATACTGCAACAAACTCTCAGTATTATTAACAATGCTTAGACAATTTGTTTAGTACAAAATCAACTTGTAAACGCAATGTTTATATTCGATAATTTTGATGTTTGATTATTTCTACTGAAGAAAAATTAGACAGCTGAGAGAAACATTGGGTCCATATTTGAACTTCAACTGATGAAATTGTTTACAAATATAACTTCCTTTCTAATGTCCATCAAGAAGAAATTTCAAAGTTCTATGACAATATAAACAAAATTTAGATTATAACAAGAATTCGATAGTCAAAAACCATTGTATGGGATACTCTTTCATACTAGAAAACATTCGACAAAAATATACAAGTAGGGTTTACCTTGCGAGTTAAAATTTGCTTTCGTTCTTCTTTAATCTTATTACGCACCTCTTCGGTGTCCACTGAAAGGCAAAGTAACAATTAACTTGGTCAATGGAAGAGTAGTTAAGAAAACGAAAACATTTGTATGCATTCTTAATAACAGAATCCTTATTGAATAAACCGAATGTTTGCACGAACAAGTACATGAAAAGTCATGTTGATTGATTAGGATAAACATATTTAAAAGATAAGATTAGTGGGTATGTTTGGACGTTACAGTAATGAAGACTAATTACTGACATAAACATAACATTCCAAATGAGTGTAAATATATAAATAAATCTTAAAGTATAAATATCCGCCTAAGAGTTCAAACTAAAAGACGAGATCTCCACTGAGTCATTTGATCTGTTTACTAGTCATAGTTGTCAAATTTCTAAAGTGACAACACACATTACTAATGAATGTTATCAAACTATGAAGTACAGAGGTTTTTCGAACACCAAAATTTGGGCATGATTTATGCCAGTACGCATCTTCAAGTTAGATTCCAAACAAGTGACGAGCCCCACACGGAGACGAAACGACTTTTCAACGCCCTCTGTTTTCCAATGTTTGTCTAGTTAGAGTCTATATATATATATATATATATATATATATATATATATATATATCCTATCAAGCATAAAAGTTCCTGTAATCAAAGACACATGAAAATTACCATGAAGGATATTTTTCTGTTTCAATTCATCAGTTGTAGGACGTTGATTAAGTCGACGCTCAAGTGACGCTTCAATATCAATCCGCAGTTCAGTACGTGCTTCTAAAGTGGTACTGGGAATTATATTTTTAGATATCAGGTCTTCACGACAAGGTCTACAGGCTAAAAAGCGATTGATGCGATCAGCTCGTTTTGTCCACATATCTTTATGCGCTTGACGAGCCTTGATAAGTGAAGTGAGAGTTTGGCTAGGTGCAGATAAATTGTAAGCATCTTCTTCATCACTATCAGAATTGTAAAAAACAAAACGACAATCTTTGCCAAAAGGATAAGCACGGTTAGATAAATGTGAGTATTTCAATGTCTGACTAATAGTAGGTACGGTCTCAGCCGCTTTCGTATCGTTGGTTGGACTTGGTGATGACGATGATAAATGAGTAATTTTTGAAGTTGACAAGATTGGTGAAGGATTGAATGTAATAAATTTAACCGAATCCGAAGAACAAATAGCATCAGTTTCACATTCAGCCACTTTATTACGATCAATCAGAGTCGCGCACGTTTCAGTGGTAGAATTTTCAGAAGGTTTTGGGAATTTATCATCCTTTTGAAAAGAATGCATGAAGGATTGTGAGTTTTTTGAGCATTTACTAGGAGATTTGTACATACACAACATTGAGTTTGGAGAATGTTTCATATTATTGGAGGAAACGTAAAGATTCGAAGCTGCTGAGTCGCAATGGAGATTGTCCGTAGAATCTGATGAAAATACAGACTTAGAATATGTCTCACCGTTCACAAGACGTCCTACCAAATACAAATCTGATTTAGATATGGGCACAACCATCACATTGCAACCGGGGGACGAAGTCTTTACATTTCTCTTATTGTAACAAACTTCATTTATTCTAAAAGCGTACAAGACAGTAATGCAATGAATAATGTACAAAGTATTATTTAAAAGGTACTGAAATACGGAGTATCATAAACGATGAAGCATTGATTTAGGCTTCTTTATCACATGGAGGTTAAGATATAGTAAAAATATCCAGTTAATTTAAAAACTCACACTACTTCTGTCAAGTGCTTAGACCGTTATGAATCACAGATAGATTACTATCCACAGAGTTCTAGAACTGGGCATCGAAGTGAGTGCGATATCATAATCAACATGATTGCGCGAATGAAGGCTTCAAACGCTTAGAAAATTCTCATTGTGATGTTGATAAGGACGTCTCCCAGCATGGCAGAAGGCATTGTAAACCATAGGATAGTAAGCAGTTTTGAGATTCTGAGTACTGAATTCATGTTATTCCACATGAAATAAAGCTGCCTTTATTAAAATGAAGTCATTGTGAAAACGATAGATTCTTGAGGTTTGAGTAACCTATGGATAACATGTAGAGGTCAATACGATGGTTTAAATACCTGAAGTATTAAGTGAAAATTTAGTCCCGAGCATATAAAAAATCGTATTGAAAACCTTTTAATAACTCTAACAACCATATGGAAGCAGTGCTGAACGTAAATTACACTGAGTTAAATGCTTCATCATAACCTATTCACTTAAAAATTTTCAGTGTTTAAAGTACTAGAATTTCAACAAATAGGACACTGATTTAAAGGTTATTCCCCTTCATATCTAAAGAGTATTGTATCTAAATCTCAGAAGAAACGGTAAAATTTGAATGCTGGTACATCCACCTAACGAGTTCCAAATATGACAAGATGTACATCCCGGTTTCAAATACGTAAGAAAAACAATTGAGATCATAAAGCGATCTGAGTTAGACCACCAATGAAAACCTAGAAGCACTGGATGGCCATTTCATCCTAGGATGTGACTCCTTAGGGGTGAGCATTCACGATCCCACACGCGTAAATCGAGCCCAACACCTTCGATTTTGCACGCGAACGCTTGACCCATAGACCACTGAGCCGGTATTCATTGGTGTAAAAGTCTAATTTCAACCGGTCAATGGCGTCGCACGAATATCTTCCACTGTATAAGGTAGGTAACTACCTCACACCCGACACGGATTAGTTTCATCGGTCGCAGCATTTTACTAGAATTCCGGAAATTTCTTCTGACAGCTAGTCACTAGTAAGCACATCATGATTTTCTGTATGGGGTTGTGAAGATTATTGAATTTGATTGTTGGTGGTCTAACTAGGAACGGTTTATGATTTCAGTGACATTCAACAATATCCACAACGCCATACCGAAAATTTTAATTTATAAGAGACTAATTATAGTCTATCAAAACAAAATTACCATTATGTTTCAGGAAAAACCCAGTATAATTATGACAACAGCATGTAAATCATAATGACTTCAAAATGATTGCAATGATTGAGAATATTATTTGAATAATATTAGTCTAATTTTTTTATGAAAACATAAACGAGCATATAGCTTAGTTAAATATAAATTTACCATAATAAACAACCTAAAAAACTTGAAAAATAGTAAGGAAACAGCTTAATTACTTGGACTTATCGATATTTGTTTGATTAGATATTTCAGAAATCCGAGTTAAAACATTTCGGCTAACCGGTGTCAATTGAGGATAAGTTACTTGGTGACTTGTTATATATTTTTTTATTCTATTTAACTTTTTAAGAGGTTGAGATGATTGAGTCATTAAGTGTTGCTTGATACTCGAAGCTAATTCAGTAGTCTGCTCTCCGACATAAGTATTCAATTCACTCGTAGGATTATCGGCTTCGGTGAAGTGGGATTGAGTTACAGAAGTCTGAATAAAACATCATAATCGAACCAAAAATAGAGCTTACAGAATAACAAGGACTAACATGTGGTTCAAGATGAACTATTGGAATAGGGCATTTTTCTGGTTGATAGTTGCTTTCAAGAGAACATGATTCTAGAAAAAAAAAAGAAAAAGCACTCACATCGTATTATTCTACAGAATGCGATACATAACTAACAAGAACTTTTCATCGACGAGGAAACTTGATGATCATTTATTTGTTGTAAGTCAGTCACTGGAAACAAAAGTCCATAACAAACATCAACATGTAGATTCATGCAAAAAGTCGTGAACCTAATCTATTAGGTAAGGGTTACTGATACTTCGATATCTGAATAGATCGGTTTAAGAACCATAATCCAATGGTAGAAAGTTGGTTAATTAGACATGTGAGTTGAAGCTTATCAAAATTAACAAGTGGGAGAAGATAACACAAAGATAATTATCATTATTAGGCCCACTTAACTTATAATAAATTTTAGGAAGGTTGTATAAAGTATCTCTGCTGAGGAAACAACTATTTATATAAATTTTTTCACCAGAAGGAGTTCCTAATCAAGAGATTAGTTAACACCTTTTGAAATAAACCCTTCAAAAAAATACTTAGATCATTTTAATATGACAACTGAAAAGACGAAGTCATGCAAATTCTATTCACCAGAATCCTACATAATTCATCCTCAGAAGAGATTCAATCCAAAAACTTTTATGCACGAACAGCACATGAGTTGTAACAAATTATCAACAAAAAGCGACGTAATAATAGTGTAGTGAACGAGAACGCAGGTGGGGACAATCAAGTGTAATTGGACACACATTTACATAACATCTTAGTAAAATCTAAGAACGATACAGTATATACTTAGTTTGCGAAATGTCAATCAGTCGTCTCAGACTTCATTGTTTCTCCGCTTACACAGCAATTATTTTCTGTTCTTTTCCTCTTTTCGCCGATCTTCTTAACCTTCTGCCGCCAGGCATTTCACTTTAGATTGATGATACATACTACTTATATCTGTCGACATCAGTAACACACATCACGACAGCATTAACAGTACAAATATTATTACCAGTATACTCAGTGGTATGATATAAAACTAATTGTAACATCCAATATTTTTTTCATAAAAGAAAACTATGATTAGAAGGCAAAGCAGTACACTACAAATATATTTTTTCATATTAAATTATCAATGAACATGGGATAATACATTCAGCAAAAAAAGTATTCGCTTGTAAAGGAGCACAATAAATCTACAGTTGAACTCATAAGTGAACCCAATATAATACAATAAAACGAGTGTTTTAAGTTATCCAGCACGAACCAAAAGAATGTATTTTCTTTAGATTGAATTTTAACTCAAAATAACAATATATAAAAATTATTTTAAAAAATTCCAACTAATAATAATGAAGTAACCGACTAACTCAGCTCGGAGAAGATTGGCCGATCTAAGAGCTGGGTTAAACTAGTACAAGTATCTTGGGCTTTTATCACGACCCTATAAGAAGACTAAAATTATACATACCACGCGGTTTTTTAGAACCCTAAACTGATGATGTTGATGCGATTCTTCGCGAGCAAATTAATTAGTTAACATATTTAGTCAACATGACACTTTTCTAACGAAATGACACATATGAACAACAATATTGAAGACAGATTTTCATTATAGTATATTGAAAACAAACACGAATATATATATTGCCCTAGGTGACTAAAAGGATGCACATTTGATTGAAATTAACTGACAAGACTATGTTGTCTGTATACCCTTATGTTATGAATTTATGGTTATGATGAAAGAATTATTGTTTTTTGTCACAAGTAAATCGACGACAGATGATGTGGAGTCACTTAACTTGATCACCTCACATCATATTCCCAAGTGATTGTATTTGCACACAGTTTCACCAATAACATTTACCAGTTTGGTACAATTCTGTTAAGAAACTCTGGGACAAGAATTGTTTAATGGGACCAAACATACCTTATACGTCGAGGAATAAAGTGAATTAAGGCCTGTTAAGCAATCATTTGTGTCATAATTTGACACAGAATGAAGAAATAACCAGAAACTTTTTAGTTGAACTGGAAGGATATCTAGTACTCACTTGGGACTCAAAAACTTTTAATTTTAAAGTTTCAAATAATCCATCAAACAAGTAAATTCGTACTTGATCACTGTGTGATCAAGGCTGACTTTCACACTTCAATTATCACTTTAATCTGCATAATAATCCTCAGTCAATGATTTCTGGATAATATATACAACGAAATTTACTAGAAACGAATTTCGGAAAGATATCGAAAGCTGAAAGCAAAGAAACTGCTTATTTGACTAGCCATCTCAAGAATCAGGGATAAACGTCTTGTTGTTCAAAAAAGGAGAATATTCAGAACGAGAAGAAATAGAAGTCCGTATATTCATCAAGGTTTTTCATCTATGGAAGCCGAATGTTTTCAGGATTTTGGGTAGGTTTTGTGATTTTAAACATATTCTAAGCATATTTTACAGAATCCTAAACTACGACAGCTATTAAATTTAGGATCGGATAGATTCCCTAATACAGAGGCATGTCTTGTAATTTGTGTGGATTATACTTCACTTATATATTTAAAACTAATAAGGTTGCAAGTCAAAAGGGTGGTGAAAATTCAAAAAATAATGTTTCTCCTGAAACATCCTGCAGTTTCACAAACTAAGGGTTAAATAAAAAATTGTATGATATTGAAGCATGTGATGTGTTGAGTTGTGACGTCCGGGCGAAGCGAATTTGATCACCGGCTGAAGTGTTGCAGTTCAACTTTAACTATTAGCAGTTTGGAACCAAGAAACATTTGCAACTGCAGCAGGAGTAAAACATCTTATTCTCAGACACGTGAGAAAGCAGGATTTAAAGCAGATTGAGGTTATAACTTCGTGTAGCTGTATGTTTTTGAATAACTTACACAACATATTTCACTTTCACTTACTATACCAAAACTGTTTGATATTAAAGAATTAGTCATACAAGACAAAATTTCGACACATTAATTAGACAAAATAATAATAATACAAACACATACAGTTAAAATAACAGCGATTCCGCTCAAGATGGGAACGCTTAATGTCATGACCTCTACTGTACGGAAACACGTCGCTTAACATCGATGCTGCTTAAAAAGTATTATCATCGGATTCGAGCAGTCCTTTATGGACAGAGATAGTACAATAGAGGCATTAAATATATTCAGCGGAAAGATTTCACGTGCCACAAGAATAGAGGAAAAATGATTGAACAAAAGCGTTAAACACCAATTGTGTAATATCCTTAAGGTGATGGGTACAAGAGGTCTGCATGCTAATTAATGACACCTAGTTTCCCATACATTTTTCTAAATGTCACTCATGTCCTTGAGAACAGACACAGTAAACCATGTAATTAGATATCTCGCGGTGTTTTACGACTAAAGCTTGTTTGTGCGCATCCACCACAAAATGAACTGGGGTTCGTTGACCGAGGAATTCGGTCGCAGTGACTAAATGAGTGAACTTGAAGTCATCCATACATCGTTTTTCACCTATTTGAGGTCCTTCACTGTGCCAAATTAAATTCAAAGTTTGAGTAACACTAAAATTCTTGAAACCAGTAATTTATATGAGCTAAAGTAACTCATAAAAATTGACCAGATTCAATTAGTTATTAGTGCATTGCAAATCCAGCTAATGGTCAACTGGGCTTTCTAGTAAATCAATAAAACTGAAAATAGCTCGACATAAAGCTTGGTTTCATCGCTTGATGAGGTCTTGGAAGATGGCGTTGAGACAATAGATTCACTTAGCAACCTTAGCTAAAATTTCCTCTCATTTCATATTCATAATGTTGAGGATGGAAAGTCTCGTCTAAGATGGCTTTGATCACCAAGACACGGCACTTGTTTTGAAACTAGTTCCTTTTTCGAGTTTTATTCGATGTCTATTTATACAGAGATACCGAATGAGAAAAAATTTGTACAGTACATTGACAGTATTAAGTCTTAGCTACAGGTACTTGCAAATAAAAAGACCTCATACCTTCTTAAGAAACAATTTCAAAGCATATATTTTCATTTAAAACAAAAACACATACTGTGATACTTGTGAATTTTCAAGAAATCACTATCTGACATCAAAATAGATCTGATAAACATGACTAACTTCAAGGTAGAACTTCATTAAGTGGATTTTAAATACATGAAACACTCAACTACGATTTGAAATGCCAGTCCTTCAAAACAAACAAAATCAAAAGGACGATCCAACGATTACAGTTCTTATTTGCATTCACTGTAATAATATTACAGACCTTTAAACAATAGTATGATTTAGTTCTTGAGAATTAAGAAACCTGCTTAAAGCAGTGAACACAGTGCGATTCATGTAATTTGTTGATGCTTGTGATGAGGCAAGAAGTTAACATACAAAGTAATGAATTTCTATGCATACTTACCATCAACTAGGAGTGAGCTCTTTTGAACTAAAACAAAAAGACTAAATGTTGCGAAACTTGAGTAAGCTGATAAAATTAAACTTAAGAGTCGAGGTATAATGTAAAGTACTAACCTGAATTGGAGCATGCGGCATCTGTGAGGATTTCAAGACCACCATTTGTGTTTAATTCAACCCTGCATCTACCTACCAGTTCAGCAGAAGGCAAATGTTTATCCGGACGTTTCTTGCCATTGTGATTGAAACGCCTAAATGGACTAAGAAACATATGCGCCAAGCGTTTTTGCTTTGTAGAAATATTTGATACACGACTATCGGAATGAAAGACTGTGTGCGCTGCCATAGTCCAGTAAAAAGAGACAGTAACGCTACTCTTGTAAAAAGATACCAGGTCGCTTTTTATGTCCAATTTATTTGTGGAATGACTTCAGATTACAAAACCAACATGATTATGATAGACCCCTGTAATTCTTTGAGACAAAATTCATTATGTGTTGTTCCTTAAAATCTGCGTCTGTGTTGTACGTAAGAGGTCCTAATTACGGAATAGTTTAGCTTTTGTTCGTTTATCATTAAACCAAGTGAAGAATAAATATTGGTTAGTAATAAGTGTGATACTGAAACAGCATATCCAGATACTGCTCCTAACGACACCGAAAATGTGGCGAATTTTGAGCCTCATTGTAAGCACTTAAGTAGTTTCTGTTAATGTCTTCCGGGGTAGGTGATACTTTAGTTTACAGATTGTAAACAAGGAATGAATTATCAGCCCAATTAAAAAAGACCTATCTATTTTAGTGCAGTTTTTTTAAATGCGCCTGTCGTTGTCGAATTTTTGATGGTCATTTTAAATTTGGCTAGCGAGAAGTTCGTTATGTTCCATTCTTACGTTCCCATATCATAAGTAATTAAAGATGTCACGTGCATTTAGTGCATGACAGCTGTTGTTCGTAATACTTATGCAATTGACTATATTAAATGCAGTTACAAGTCTTTGAAGATATATTTGGAAGATGTACGATGCGTCGAGAACAAACCAACATAAACAAACTAGTGGCTGTGAGGCATTTAGAGCACGGCGTATCTATTCATGATCTGAAGATAATGTTTGGCTGATCACATTCAGCCAAGTTTTGTCAGTCACCATTAGTTGCAAAGAACTTTTTATTTCAAGTATTTGGGAAGTAGGGTATATCGTACTAGCATTCCAAGGTCAGTCAGAATGAAGCGGAAACCTTCATTTTCTCCATTTTTCCAAGCAATGACGTTCGACTTTCTTTGTTCTGTGTTTTTCAGCCGGCTTTTAAGTGTCCCTGCAGTAGTCGATCTTTCGGGGTGTTAAAATCATGTAATTTATGTGGTGATCTAAATGTTCAAGCTCACTTTTCCGAAGAAGTTCGTTTTTTCGGCTTTTATTACAATTAATACTCAGATCAGTGTATTCCTCCCGGAGAGTTTATGTGTTTTACATTACAAATTTTAATACATTTTGTTTTAAGTATTTTCTTGTAGATATCAAACATAAGCGCAATTGTTTTTCTCCTGTGATCAATGTTGCTACGACATGGGATTTTCTAACTGTCCGCATGCATATTTCTAAATGCTACTTATCGAAGACCTCGAAAGTAAACGATTTTCTGTCTGCTATTCCTCTTAATATAGTGAACGAACCCTGTAGTGGCATTGGACCATAACCACACAATCCTCAAAGCTGAATACGAGATTACTCAGAAAATAGATATTCAATATTTAACGCGAAGAAATACCTAACGATGGAGAAGGCGCGAATAATGAATTGAATAGACTAGAGTTGATCGAACGGCATGGCTCGACCATGCAGGCGTGGTCCCTCTGAATGTTACCTTATATCTTCTATTCATACTAAATATATTGTTCTTTCTCTAGCCTAACCTTGTTCTACATCATGTATTGGTAATTGATACGATACAGTGAGTTGGTGTAGTCGATGGTGTGACTTCCACGTAAGATCTTATAGATTAGGCAGTCATATCATGACAAATCTACAAATTTAGGATTAGGTCTATTATTAGAGCAGTACTAATATCATAGTAGACCATAAGTTCCACATTGGTGAGCCCAACTAAAGAAACGCAACCTATTATTGCTAACACCTTTACCTTCTCAATCGGTTTTTATTTTTGTAAACCCAGTATTCTAATAGTCCTTTGATTAATGGTCACATATATTATCGTAATGTTATATCTATTAGTTCACATAACTTACTAGCTCAATCGATAATAAAAGTTGATCATCTATATCAACTAATTAGCTTTGATGGTTCGTTAACAAGCTTTAATAGCATTTACCTGCTTCAGCGACATAAACTTGTTTAAACATCAAGCTCTAGCAAATATGACCTGTAAATAGCGTAAATATACATTGGCTAACAATGCGATCAAGGATTGAATAGTTATCTGGATCTAATTCTTAGTGTTTCTTCGCTTAACACATCCTGTTTTAAACTATGCACTATCCTTTTCTTCCGACCACTGCCTGCCTAATTTCATATTCTCGAGTTCCATTGCCAAACAACAAGGATAACACTTCTCTAAAAACATACGGTGAGTTTCAGTCATAAGTTTCCTGCAATCATAAGGTCATTTTAGATGACTCGTTCAATGGCTGACATAATTATCTGGATTCATTCGATTGTTTTGATCTGAGCGAGTGGCAACAGCATCAAGCACCCTGGAATTAATTGCCATACTGCATGTTTTATTGTGGATACTTTTGGATCATTACTCATCATATGTCGTCCACTGAATAATCTAATTTTCAAAACTAATCCAGGCGAGTTCAACTATTTCACTTAATGATTTTTCGTACTTAACATGTATATGTTTACTAGCTGCTTTTGCCATATATTCGTAAGTGTCCCTAGGCTAAATTCAGTAACTTCTTATGGAATGTTTATAACGCGTCATATTCCTGCCTGAAGTTTCACAAGCAGTCTTAGCTTGAAAATTATTTTCTGGTCATGTTCATTATTTTTAAATCGTCATATACGTCAACAACCTGCATGTCACCCTGGCCCGTACATACGTTGCACTATATCTCCATGTCTTCTAAATTTAGAAATCATCTGGATCGCCTCTAACATTTATTAATAAACCCATCATAGTCGTTGTTGCTAATCGTATTTGGATTTATGGATTGGTTTATCATATTAGCAGTCTAAAATGCAAACATAATTTAGATAATAAGATTAAAAATTTAGGTACTATCAACTGCACTAGTAAAATTACTAAATCCTCAGGTAGTTGTTGGTTGAACAAACTTTTAAAATCAAAACTCCGTAGCCTACTAGAATTAACATTAAACAAATATTTCTGAATTGAAAGTTATAATTAAATTAGGCGTCTCGGATTCTTTAACGTTATAAATTTCTGATAATTTTGAATCACCTAAAACAACAATGCCTATTTTTCCACTGGCCAATCTTCAATCAACACTATAACTAATTAAACATAATAGTTTCAGGATATCTTCATAAAGCATTGTCATGACTTGACAATCACGTAATATGATTGATAAAATTAATGAAACTATTAACAAAATAGGTCAGCAAATTGACTTATAATTATCACTAGTGTTGTTTTTCTTCATTCACTACAGATGATTACAGTATGTTTCTCTATCAGTTGCTCATTCAGTAAATATCTCAAAATTTTGTCAGTCTAATTGATGGTTTAGCGACACAATCATGCATGCAAATAATCAGTATAAGCAGTCGAGCAAATATCCTGCAAACTGAAAACATCAATGTCGAATTTACCCCAACACTGACTAAGGTTCAAGCTATTATCATAGGCATGAGTTGGGAGTGCACTCCCCTTAGTTACAACTTATGTTCTCCCTGATAATCACATGAGCATCACTCACTATTAATCATCTTGTAAAAAAATTATTTAGCCAAATACACCTTGCAGCACCACATCACTTAGTAATATGACACAGGTTTAACTAATTTCAATAACGTATAACCACTATATCTCAATTAAATCGTGTTCCGCCTTATGATAAACTGCATACTTTCAACTAACTTGTATACCCAATCAGCCGGCAAGTATAGATATAAATAAATAGTCTGCCGCAGATCAGAACATTGAGTCTAGAGCATGTCTCTAAAGAATACACTCATGTTTAACGATTTGTTCCTAGCTATCTGTCCAAAATTCACATAATTACCACTCACGTATTTAAATTTTGTTTTGATAACCATTCATGTGTATTAGTAGTATTAATAAATACTATCACGGTCAAGTAAAAATGAGGTTGAGAAAATCTCCCCGTAACTAAACAAAGCGTATCAAACTAACTGGAACACTAGTTGGAATTCTTCTCCACGGTAATACTTTTGTTCCTCCAGTTAGCCTACTAATACAGATGCAATTGGAAATCGACTCATATGCAAAACTTACCGGCATAATCGTTATTTGATTTTATAAGTTAGACTAAAAGTAGTACTAATATTAACATTTCTACAATATTCATAACTTTAATATTTCTAAACACAAAATACTTACTACCTATACGTTAAGTTATCAACCAACGACTATTAACACGCATCGTTTTATTATTATTATTATTATTGTAATCCCATTTTTTTTATAGCTCAAATAATCACTAAAATTTTTATTGTAAGCATGAAGGCAGATATTTTAAAATTATTACATGTATTTCCAGACCAGATGCTGCCGTCTTCTTTTTGATTTATCTTTCAGCTTATCATCACCCGGAGGATTATTACTAGTCTTGGTAACCTTCGGGACACTACAGTCCCATCCAATTTGGTATCGAACCAACACCACGTTGATTCTGGTGGGAGAGTAGTGTAGTGGCATTGGACCATAACCACACAATCCTCAAAGCTGAATACGAGATTACTCAGAAAATAGATATTCAATATTTAACGCGAAGAAATACCTAACGATGGAGAAGGCGCGAATAATGAATTGAATAGACTAGAGTTGATCGAACGGCATGGCTCGACCATGCAGGCGTGGTCCCTCTGAATGTTACCTTATATCTTCTATTCATACTAAATATATTGTTCTTTCTCTAGCCTAACCTTGTTCTACATCATGTATTGGTAATTGATACGATACAGTGAGTTGGTGTAGTCGATGGTGTGACTTCCACGTAAGATCTTATAGATTAGGCAGTCATATCATGACAAATCTACAAATTTAGGATTAGGTCTATTATTAGAGCAGTACTAATATCATAGTAGACCATAAGTTCTACAACCCCTCCGTTAGAGTAGAACAAATACTGAGTGTTCAGTTGTGGGTCCCAGATATAAATTCGAAAGTTTTGAGAGACCCAATGATCTAACAAACTTAGACCAAGTCAGAGATGCTGTA